AATAGGAACAAAAGCTTGTGTCCTGTCATTTCACATGCTCAGACACACTTGAAGTATTTCTTTCTTCTGTGGGGATGCTATAAATCAGACCTGCATATAGTCCCCAAAAAACTGGGACTTTTTATTTAAGCTGTGGACTTTGTCTTTGGCGAGTGTATGCCCAGGCATGGCACTGCATGCGTAGGTGGGTGCATGTGGTGTCCTTGCTGCTGCAGCAGTGCTGTGCTGTGTTTCTGTTCATCATCTGGAGACCTGCAGTGGTACTGCATGCTCTTTAGAGGATTTATATGACTGGAACTGACTGACTGCATGGCCATGATATGTTTCAGGAACGCAGATCTGAAAATGCGTTTTATGCATTTATGGCTGGCAGTAAATCTCGTAATGCTTGAAACCTCTGGTTTAGCCAGCTTTCCCGGTTTGAGATCAGCTATTTCACCTCTGTGCCCATTGCATGGTTTTAAATGTGTTACCTGGTCAACTCCTACGGAGCAGTGTTGTGCCTAAATGCAGTAAAATACATCGGCAGCCTACAGACTTGTTGCAAAACGCATCCTTTCATCATAAGGCAGCAAAGACCTGACATTTCTTTTCAGACTGCTTTCAGCTTTTAATATTTAATATTTCTATCATCCATCTTTTTATTTAATGAGTTGTTGAAAATATTTACTTTCTTCTCCAAACATCTCTGTCTTGTACTAATTGTGGAAGCATCTGGAACTGGAGTCTTTGATACTCGGTTTATCTGATTTTAGCTCATTCAAAATTCCTATCAGAGAAGTCTGGAAATCATTAAGATTATTTATGCTCTCCATCTAAACCCATTAAAATAGTAGTGACTGTAATTCTCTAGGCTCTGTGTATGTGTGTGGCTGGTTTTTAAACGTTGTTGTTTCCAGGATAATAACCTTGGGTCTCCTTCTGCCTTAGCGTGGAAGGTCTATTGCTGCGTTACATTACATTATCTTATTTTGGCTGGACGCTGGGAAGAGAGAAATGAAAAAGCTTACTGAAAACAGTGGAAAACACCAAGAAAGAGAGAGAATTTGAGACAGAGTGACAAGATTTGGGTTCAGTTCCCTCTTCTGCTCCAAGTGATTCGATTTCTCTATCTCAGTATTTTTGCCTCCTGTCCTTTTCTCAGTTTAATATCTCAGAAATGGAGGATGTCTTTGGTGTATGCATACTGCCAAACAAAACTGACCCCAAAACTTAGAGAATCAAAGAGACTTAGAAAACTTAGAGAGTCAAAACTTTTCAGTCAAGGAGCCCTAACTTTTTGTTAAAATAAATGGCATTGCTTGGAAGTCAGCAATTCTTTGGAATTTGGTGGTGCACCCAACAACTGTCTCTGTAGTTCAGGTTCATTTGGTAAATTTATTCCCAGACAAATGAGTGTTAGTACAACCTTTTAACAACTGTTAAATGAGATGTTGAAGATTTTTGGATAGCTGACACCAGCAAAAGTTTCTGGCATGTGGGAGAAGTTTAACCTTTGATAGAAATGTCAGCTTCTCTCAAGATCATGAAATACTTGTTTAATCGTCGACAAGATTTTTGTTCATTTTTGTTCATTTTCAGTTAATAAGATATACAACATTTCTCTCATCGTCCCACATGGTTAAGACTAAACTTTTGCGTGCAGTGAAAGTTGTGTAAGTAACCGTAGGCAACTTGGGAAATGCAGATAGGAGGAAATAAATGAACTGGGAGCCAAGCCATGTAATTTACTGTCAGGATTGCTCTTCTGAACTACAACAAAAAAAAACCCAAATATATTTATCTCTGTAGCTTAATTAAGTGAATTAAAACTTTAAAAAGTAATTGAGACCATCCATGTTGGGATTTCACAAAGTGCTTTAAGCAGAATGTGGGAGCACTGTATCTAGATGGTCTGTCCCACAGCAAATGCTGTCATTTTTTGGTGATGTGGCTGCAGAGTAAGTCTAGGAACACAATTATATTTTTAAGCTTTAAAAAAGTGTAAGCAGTGTTCTAGTCTCTTACTCTTGGAACTTTCTTTTCAGTTTAAGCTCATACTGATTGGAAACTCTAAGCTATGTGTCTATATACTTTGGCATTGGCTACTGATATTACCTTGCCTACAAAACAGTAATCTGTAAATAGCATACTCTTTTCTGTGCAATAGACAGTGATGAATTGCTTTATATTTACCTTCAGATAGAAGGAAATGGGTGAATGTTTGCCTACTGATAAATGGGTAAAAAAAAATGGTCAAAGACTATCACAAGGTACTTGGTCTCACTGTGAAAAACATGGTCTTTTTTAATGACAAATGATGTAGAATTGCACTATTACTGTTAGATCCTCATTTCCCACATGTAGCCCTTTTTCTTGCTAGGTAAAGTACTCAACCCCACAATGGAAAGGCAACTGCTTATGACAGATGATTTACATTTGCTTATTTGCTTACATTAATATTTCCAGCAAAACAGTTCTGGGGAAAGAAATTACTACCATGAACTGGATTTTCTCTGATGCAGAAAAACTAATTTTTCCACTCTATGTAGCTGGAAAGCAGGGCGGTTTCTAACATTGTGGTTTCTTAATCAGCAGCAGTGAATAAATTCAACCTGGCCATTTTGAGATAAAAGCCTGTTTTGCCTGTGCAAACTGCCACCGAGGCTTAGATACCGTTGTTGTAAAGCTTTTAGAGCAAACGAAGCAGCTGTTTCAGCCCAGTTTAAACACAGTGAACAAGAGTAAAGCATATTAACTCCAGCTGTGCACTGATAACAGCTGGGAAGGAAAATCACTGCAAGGGAACCTTAAAGTAAACTTTGAATTGTAGCAGGCTTAGCTATCCTGTGTGTGCCACTGAGGGAGGAGCAGTGGTGAAAATCTGATCCTGAGAAACATGGAGAATTTAATGAGAAATTCCTGTGCCCTTTTTTGTGCTTCTGGAAAGGTGCAGAGCAGGTTTTGGAGTCAGTGGCATCGCCTCTGAAGATTTTCAGTGGAGATCTCATACACTGATGGCCAACTTGGAGATCAGGGCAAGTACTGAGTGATGGGTTCTGTGCAGAGTAATGGTGTCCCTTTTAAAGGAAGATATTATCCCCTGCCCTGTCTGGTGAGGGATTACGCTGTCATCTCTTCAGTAGCACTCTGTTTTCCAGAATAATGTGTGCCAGTATTCATGCTGCTTCTGAGGGATCACTTGCATTTTGTTCTGTTGAGCACAAAAAGCAGCATAAAACTAGAGGAATTCATTAATGTCGCTTAGTGGTAAAAGCAGCAAAAATTATTAAAGAAATTGTATTAAATGAAATACTTCATTAGGTCCTTACTGTGGTAGAATAATGGTTTACTTAGGTTTAGGTCTAATGGGAATATATTTTAAGGATTTCCTTCTAATCAGTACTGTGTGATAGCTCATGATTAAGAATAATTACATAGTTGTAATAATACACCTTCATTATATTTCATACTTGTATTTTAAAGATAGATTCAAGGCTTCCTCATGAAACCAAGTGCTTTCAGTGACTTTGCAAAACCCATAAGTTAAAACAAAGGTAGCAGTGCTGAGGAACTAGAGAACACAGAAGAGCAGGTCAGCAAGAATAGCCCATGTTTGGTCAGTATTTGCAAATTGATACATCTGTTGATAGCTTTCAGTTGCACCCAATCCATGGAGATAACAAAAGTTAGGAGAAGAAAGCACATGTTTTCTAAGTTAGATTAAGTGTCTGTAGCCTAATATTTCCACTTGGCATCCATCAGAGTTTTAGAGGGCTTTTAAAGAAAAAGGTTTCTTGGATATTCATGTTATTTACGTTAACAGTATTTGTGTGGTTCCCTAGCTGTGTTTGAATACACATACAAAGAAAATGACGGGACTGTTCCAGCTGCAGGTGGGAACGGCTTCTGGTCTGGAGCACAGAAGCTTTCAGCAGTTTCGTGCAATTGAGATAACAGAGCAAATGTGTCAATTTTTGTGTAATCATCATCTTTATGGTTTCCCTCTTGTTGTCTTTCCCATCCTTTCAGATTATGTTCCTGTTCTGTTTGGTGTCTTCTTCTAAGCTCGGTGGAGTTGGAGTCATGTCTTGGGTATGTTCTACAAAGAACCTTGTGTTCTTTAGGTGCATGTGAAAGGACCAGACTGAGACAGCTCAAGTTTTGGACAGGAGGCAACACAGCTGTCTGGGTCCCTCTGAAAAGAGAACATAAGGATATGAATAAAGACATTTAAGTAAGGCCAGTTAGTATTGTCATAAAGTTCTTTTAATGTTAACCAGCTGTTACAGACTTGTTCTCATTCTTTAGTAGATTACATGGCTCTTTGTTTTGCTGGAAGTCAGCGCGCTCTGTTTCTGTGTGCGTAGCAGACAATTATATAATAAAACAGGTCTTCAGTTTCATGTGTGTACAATTATGAGAGACCAGTAGTTCCTCTAAGAAGGCAATTTTGGCATCATAAAGTTTTTCAAAAGTAAAGTATGGACTACATTGAGTGAAAAATGTAAACGCGTACGGATGTATGTGAAAACAATACAAGAGTGAAAGAGCATAGGAGAAACATGAACAAGGGAAACGGAATAAAATTACATCTTGCAGATGGCTTGACAAGACCACATCAAAACAGCTGTAAAGCTGAGTAAACTCCAAAGCCCAGTGGCACACACAGGTATGAGGAGAATTTTAGTGTTCCTGAAAGGCAGGGACCTGTCTGAGTGGGACACCAAAAGTACTTGGATGCCATACGATAAAATTATTTTTCCTGTGCTTTTATATAAAACATAATTTGTCTCAGTGAGAGAAATCTGATGGCTCTGATCCTTTTATGACTGATGTAACTTTCTCATTGACTCTGGGACTGTGTCCAATAAGCAACCATGTATTAAATAACTAATAATACTGCATTTTTATTTCAGTTATTCCCCATCTAATACAGTTGGTTTTATTATGTTTTTCAGGCTTGAGAGCTACCCTGGATCTTTGATTGTGATCTCCTCTAAATTACAACTCTGACAACAATGGCAACAGAATGTATAAAAAACTGCTGTAAATGGTGTTTCTGCATGGAAAAAGCAAAAAATGAATGTGAGTACTGACATAACTACGTCAACTAAGGGTTTTGCTGTTCCGGCTTTATTAATGATGAGATTTCCCATTAATAAAATGTCTGTGTCACCCCTGATAAACTTGAGTCCTTTTACAACAGCCAAAATTCTTCCCATACCTCCACTTGGAGACTGAACACAGGCTTGGTAATGTTACGAGTTGGAATTGGAACTTAAAAATAACACTTGTCTGAAGTCTGCTCCTTGCAGCCTGGAATGCTATCCAAAAAAGCCAACTTTTTCACCCAAGGTTGTGTAAAGGTCTTGTATCTTTCAAACTCTTAAGTGAACACATTATTTTTTTTTTAAACTCCCTATGGATTTGCAGTTAAGATTTTCTTTGTTGTCTTACTTGTTTGAAGAACTGTTCTGTGATACAAGTGCACCTCCCATAAAAATGCACTTAAGAGTGCATTCTATATAAATATAGAAGCTTGGACAACTAAGTTTGGATCAGTATAGGTGTCATGAGGATGAATCTCTTTTCCAGGTGCTAGTCCTGAATGCTGGTAAAACTCAATATTAGCAGCCATTAAGTAATGTGTCAAGCACAGATCCTGTTAAATAAAAGAGATCTGTTCATCGTATTGTTCAGAACGTAATGCACATGTGGACTGTCTGTTTTTCTTGATCTTTATTTTTAGCAGTTTCCATCGAAGCAGTAGCTGCGAGCAAGCCAACTATTGTGGAGAAGCCTCCATTGTCCTCTGTGTCAGTGAAGCGTCAAGTTGGCTGTTCAGAGGATTATCTGCTTTCTAAACTGCCCCTGGACGGTCAAGAGGTACCATTTGTGGTCCCTCCGTTCAAACTGGCCTATGTACAGCCGAAGAACCTTCCTAGTATCTCACATGCTGGAGTGATTCAAGGTAAAATATAAACTGCATTGCTAAAATAGTTTAGCTTCTACTACTCCTTGAAAGTTGTCAGGTATTCCTACTGAAAACATACGATTGCAGAACTTTTGTTGAAGCCTGATCTTGTTTCTTTTCTCTCTGGACATCCAGAGAGGTTTTGGGAAGGATGTCACCCACTATGAATCTCTGTGATGTTGCATGAATAAAATGGAAAGGGAAGATTGCACAGCAGTGCTCATACTTAAAGTAATGGAAGACAAAGGAAACAGCAGCTTTAGTGAAGAATTTATTGGAGGCAAGGAAAGATGTAACACATCTCCAGCATCCAGATCACTCAAGTAAAAAAGGAGGATAGTCTGGCTGATGTGTTTTAACATACGAACACATCTTCTTTTTCAAATTTCACCAGTAGATAGAATGGTGGAAATTTTTTTTCCCTATTTCCTGCTCTTTTTACTGCCTTTTGGGAGTCCAGGACTCACAGAGCTGAGTGGTATAAGGTTGCACATGATACTATGATTCTTTGCTTCTTGACAGTCTTGTACTTCAACCTCTGTCATTCAGTCCCATGCTCAGGCCGCCTAAATGATGTACGTGCAATTTAGGCACGGTGGCATTTTAAATAGGAGCCTGGCCCAGTAACATGAGTTACGCATATGCTATCACTAGGCTCTTGCTGCTGCCAGGAGATGCCTAGAATTAGATAAGGGAGGATTTTGGCATAGGGACATACCTGAATGGTTGTTTTCTCTAGAGATGCTTCACCTTGATAAGCTGATAAAACTCTTTTAGTCCCATGTGACAGCATTTCTTTTCTGAAAGTGGAAACTTTAATAACGGAAAAAAGTCAACCACATGTTGCATAATAACTAATGCAGTACTGCCTAACCTTGTTGTGTTTCTGTGGTATTGTTCCCACCCTTCTCTTTTTTCCCCGGGTCCTTGCTGTTGCTTATTTTCTCCTCCTGCATGTCTAATACCAAACTTTCTCCTTGCCCACCCCTTCTGGTAACACTGGCACCAGAGCCAAGCTCATCAGCCTAGCAGAGCTTTTCGGTATAGATTGGTCATTCTGTGCCCAATCTTTTTTTAATTAGTTTTTATTTATTTATGATGTCTGCCTCACCACACATGGACAGGCAACCTAGTAGTTGGAGGCAGAACATGTGAGGCTCTCCTGGCACCTCCTGGTAATACCTTCTCTCACTGGGTTGGGTTCAGGCTCTGCCTTGCTTTGTCCTACCTCATCCTCAAGATACTGCACAGAGGAGTCCATCAAGGACTCTGAGACACGAAATGTTCTGCAGGGAGAAGGAAGGTGTGTCTAGCAACCTTTAGATAAATGTTTTATTTGCTCATGCTGTTCTACACGATTTTATCAGTCAGTGAGTTATGAACCAGTGACTTGGCTTCATTGGGAATTCTGCCTCATCATCATTTCTGAAGGACCTGGTGAACAGAAGGGCCCTTAGGCTATAAATCCTTCTGGCAGGATGACCTGACTCTTCGTAATTGTCTCTCTTGAGCAAATATTTTAAATTCTTGAACAAATATTTGAGAAGTGGCTCTTATGTCAAGTAGATGACTTCCATTTCTCTTTCCAAATATAAATACTTATTTTTTCTAAGTACAGCTTTTTAAGCCTCATTAAAGTTTGTGTTTAAAAATACGAAGTTTACTTTTTAGGGTGATTTACTAAATACAGTGAAGTGTGCTGTCATTCCTTTTTCACATTAGCCAAAGCACCAGCATATTCAAAAAATGAATTTAGAGTATTTGCTTCTTAGACCATTGTTAAATATCTGCAGAAGTCCCAAGCTCTGCTCTCAGTTCCACTCCGTTTTCTGTGTGTGTCTGACCATTTTCCTTGGTGAAACAGGACATGCTCAGTGTTAGCCCTTGGCATCCCTTCTGAAAGCAGTTAAGTTCTGGCAGCCTTTCTCTTCAGTGCTCGCTGCAGCAGCGTTTCTCATGCTCTCACAGAAGTGAGCTCTCAGGGAGGAGTGTGCTCCTGGTCTGGATCACTGGCTTTTCCATCCTCTGCTTCTAGCGTTCGTCCTAATTTACGTCATGCTCAAGCCCATTATACTTAAATTTTTGCTTTATCATCTCTCATGCTCCACCTGAAGGAAAGGATTTTACCACAAAATAACAGTTTGCCTCTTATGGTGCAACACACTTGCAGAATTGAAGGCACTTATAATGGAATAAAGAACTTTTTAACAGATAGGCTAAAGTCCAGGTAAGTGAAATGAAGGAAGCAAATGTCAGAGCTTGGCAGAGTTGAGGTCACCCCATCCCTATTCTCTACTGTACAGTTATTTATGGCTTATTTTCACTCCAGACAGACAAAATGAAGCACTACAGTGGTGTTCTTTACTGTTCTGCTGGCCAAGATGTGTGTGTTTTTTCTAAAATGATTATAAATAAAGGAAAGAAAAATAGGGCAGCTGTGTGGGCTGAGTAAAGGGCTGGGATTCAAGCATTCTCAGATCTGTCTACTTGTGCTTCGGCCAACAATTCAAGTAATTTTGGACCAGTGATTTTAGCGCTGACAGACTTCCTATGGAATTGGATGACAAGGAGACTGCAGTCACAAGTTGTATTATCTTTCCATATGAGACCCTCTTGAAGGTCTGGAGGCCCATCAGCTGAGTGGGAATGTCCAGGGGCTAGGCAGCCAAATATGTCAGAGGCTTTCTGTACACATGGACCTATTTTTTCCTGTTAATTTCTGTCTTCTTGTCTGTCTTTGGAGCCTTCTGTATTTTAACTAGTTAGGCATTCATTGTGGAACTCCAAGATAGGGTATGCATAGCTTTTTATGGCCAATTTAATTCCAATGTTTGCTAGCACACTGTGGAAATCTGACATAATGTGTATGTGTGTTTTCTTTACTTTTTCTTCTTTTTTTTTTTCCCTTTTCCTGCAGCAGATAATATTGAAATACTTTGTCCTTTGCCCTGAAGGCACTGTGCCTGCCTTATGAAGCCAGGCAGCATGTGTTATGTCTGGGACTCTTGCATTTGATGTTTACTTGTGCTCCACAGAATCTGCCAGAGCATCATTTGGTGACCGGAAAGCAGAACTGCACGGCATGTCCCAATGGCCCCGCTACGATGTCTACAACCCCTTCTATTTGGAGCATCGGGTCTCGCCAGATCTGATTAGGCGCTTCCAAGCAAAATCAGATAATAGGAAATTATATGGATCAGGTGAGAAGGACTACACCCTTACTTTTGTGTCTTCCTCGCTTTCACAAGGTTTATAGGTAAGAGGAAAAAAAGCCAAGAAAAGTCTATGGAAGATGTGTTTGATTATAGCACTCAAACTGGTCTGTGTGCTACAGGCACTTCTTGATTGGTGAATCAATGTGTAGAACCAGCTCTGCTTGATTTCTAGCTGTCCTGTTACTTTCCATCTTTTGGGAGCTTCACAAGGCTTGCATGCATCCCACAAAGGTAGAAAATTTGGCAAAGCAAGCTAGCCTAGCTGCCTCCCACTCAAAACAGGATCCAGTACTGGAGATTCCAGCTACTGGTAATGGGAGCGTTTGAGGGAGATGGAAAAAGGAAGTCGGGCAGTATGTGGAGTGGAGGAATGCCTGAGGAGTATAGATACAGAGAGAGGAGCAAGTACCAAAAACCACTCAGGAGCAGATGATAAGAACAGGTACAAAATGGGAAGTGATACTGTGTGCCAGCTTTTTTCTAGTTCGCTTTTGAAGGTGCAGAAATGTCCCCACTTCTCATTGCATGTGTTTAAGAATTAGGGAGGGCTGTGAGATAGCAGAAGTTTAGATAATGTTTGGCTACCTAGGCACAAATTTTCATGAGTGTTTTTTATTGATGTACATATCCTATAAAGAGTGCTGTTTAGATGACTGTTGTAAGTCAGATCTTGCTGTAAGCGATTGCGAAGGCAAACAAATTCAGAAAACTCATATACTTGAAGAAATGTTTGTGCCTCCCTGTCGAATCTGAAGCTGACAACAGCCTGCATTTTTAAGTATGTTTTATTTAGAAGGGTATAGCATGCTTATTGTACAGCTGGGGGAAAGATCTCGGTCTATGTCCTGTTTTAAAAATAATTCTGAATCACCATAGAGACCATGAAAAGACTACTCCATATATATATAGGTTTTTTAACAGAGCAAGACACACGTAGAATTTGAGCAGCCTTTAACGCATATGGTTTTGCTAGGCTTTATAAGCACCCGTGGTGGGAGCCAAATGGGTTTAATAAAACTGTCTTGAACATCTTCCCTTCAGGTCATAATCTCTTTTTCCATTTTTCTTGAAGCTAAGTAAACACTTCACTAGTTTTGTCTTAGTAAGCTTGAACACAAGAAAGGTCACGTAAATGTGTTTAGAGTACAGCTCTAAAATGCCTTCTTCCTCCGGAGTTTTCTGACAGCTGTTCCAAGAAGGTAGATGATTCTCTTTATGTGCCGCTGTAGACTCTTTAAGCAAAATTCCCTCTCTTCTGTTGCAACAAGTGCTATGACACTTTTCATGTGTGCAGGCTTAGAACTACAGAACTTGTTTATTTGGAAGGTGTGAAGTGAAATTCTTGAATTTTCATGCGAAGTCCCTCCTCTTTGTCTTAAAAAAAAAAAGTAACAAGCTGAAAAATAAATTTATTAATACTTTTTCAAAAATTCTAGTTTTTTCTAGTAAACAGCATATGTTTATGGTTAAAAATTTTCTGCTTTTTATATTTTAGAGACAGCCTTCTCAGTGTAAAAATTGACATTTTTTTCTGTTAAAAATTTAAGTTTTTGAAAAATGTACTCTTCTCCCCACAACCCCCATGTTCTTTGAAAACTTCAACCATTTTTACTAGAAACAGCAGATCATACTGTCTTTAAAGTGTTTTGGTGGTTTGTAACCTGTAGGCTTTTAGTTTGTGTAAGTCATGAGTGCTGAATATGAAACTAATTTCCATAACCATGATCAATTTCAGATCAAGTGACAGGTTGATCTCTCTTACTTACTCCCATTATATCAAGGTTTCTAGGCCTCATACAATTTTTAATGCTATTTCTACACCAGACTTGGTGAACAACTCGGCCCATTTGTGTCATGCACAAGAGAAAATTTGGAATTCATGCCAGGCGTATAGACCTTCACTACTTTTTATCTAAATTATGCTCCTACTTCCTTTCCCTCCTATGGCTTGTCAAAACTTTCTTCATCTTCTGTTCAAGAAGTGTGTGGATATGGCACTTGAGAACATGGTTTAGTGGCCATGGTGGTGTTAGGTTGATGGTTGGACTTGATGATCTCGGAAGTGTCTTCCAACCTTAATAATTGGTTATGGGTCAGTTTTGAAGTTGGGAGGCTTTTAAAACCTCTTGAACATCACTGGAGTCAGCAAGGATTCCTGAAGCAGTGGCCTTAGTTCAGCTCTCATTTTCTACTGTTGCTGCATAATGTGGATGGACACTGAGCTTAAGCTCTGTATTGCTTTGAGGTCAAAAGAAAACTGATAGGATCTACTTAACCACTTCCAACTGCTGAGGAAACTGCCCTTCCGTAAAATAAAGATCCTGGTTTGTGCTGTAACAAGTATGTGTCACTTTAGATTTAAGACTGACTTTGAGATGTAGTAAGGGTGCAGAGTATGGTGCTTTGATGCTGTGATCAGTAAAGTCGGAGATGAGGCCAAGTTTAGCAGGCAGCAGGTTTTTGCCACTGGGATCTTTACTGTGGAAAAATTTTAAAAAGGAGACCAATCTAAGCCCCAGTTCTGGCTGACCAGATTTAAAGACAAGGCTTTTGTGTTTTGCTAAAACATCTACTAAAAAAAAGGCATTTCTCTTGAGGAAATGACTTTGAGGCAGGCTCCTCATTCAACCAGTGACCAAGTAAGTTTCAACTATTTCAGAGATGGAACTAAGATATTTTAATGGCTTGTTCTCTCCATCTTGTCATTTCAAGAGTGTGTTTCAGGAAAGGAAGGTGGGGAAAGGTGCTGACATCCTTGCTTAGATATTATTAAGGTAGGTTTCAATAGGTCTGCTTAAATTTAAAAAGAGCTTCTTGATTTTTTTTTTTTTTTTTTTAGCAAATCTTACATGATTTGTATTGTTCTTTTTGTCGTTTTAGTTAGTGATTTAAGATCTAGTGCTTTGCCTGGGTCATTTGATGTGAGTCGTTCAATGTTTGATCTCAGAAGCCCGCCTCATCGATTCATGAAGGTGAGTTCTTGTAGCTTAGGTTATACTGAAAACTCTGCTTCCTTGGTTTATCCGTTCCTCTTGCATTGTGTTTCCAAAGTAAACACTGAAGCACATTGTACTGTGCACTGGAAAGACTAAAGGGAAAGGTTCAACGTCCTGACCAACTTCAAGAGGCTGTTTCCTGCTGTCTCTTCCAACTCCCGCTGTTCTGCCCCAGCAGGGCTCTTGAGAAACCCGAGTGGGCTGTTAGGCACGAGAAGACAGACAAGAGGTTGTGATTCATCATCTTGTGATTTCTCCCATCAGTTGAAAAGTGGAACGCGAGACGTTTCCATTGATGCAAAAAACAACCTGCTTTGCTTTTTTTTTCCTCTTTCTTCAAATAATCATCTTACATGGAGATGAAGTTGCATACATATCAGTGAGCAAAATAATCTGTGCTGAACATGTGTGTCCTGTATTAGCTCTTTGCGTCAAAGCAGTAATTCCATGCTGCTGGATCAAGAGATTAGGAGGGAAAGAAACAATCATTTGAAATTGCATGTTGTTTTGTTTTCATCATCTGTTGTCTGATGGTAGAATCTCTCTGGCTTTTTGCATCTGTTGCTCTGAATGAACTGATTTTTTTTTTTTTCCCCCAGAGATATGATTCAGTCTCTAGTGTACCTAGCAGCACATCTTCCAGGAAGGATTCGCAAGGCAGCAACAGGAGTCTGGGTAATGCTTTGTTTGTTTACCTTGTAATGAAAAATTTCCCTTGAAACATTCAGCTGTCTCTACTGTTGATGAGTTGATTTAGTCGTTTTTTGAGATAAATCTGATTAGCAAGTCAGTTTGGAGATTACTTTGCAATTTGAAGTTAGGAGTTTTGGACTTGCACCTTCCGGTTGTCAGGAGAGTGAGCAAATGAGCCTTTGAGGAGTTCTCATGCTTTTGAAAAATTAATTCCCAGATAAAGTAAGAAATTACAGATCTTCTGTTAAGATACAATGCCTAATACCTTGGTCACAGCTTTAGTCCTTTCTCATGTGTATCAGTATTTATTCTGTACTAGAATCCAGTACCCACATTACACTGAGAATTAGGCAAGAATATGGCGTGCAAGCCTAGTATCCTTCTTTGTGAAAGAATGCTGCATAAGTGGAGATACTGCAAAATAAAACCTCAGAAATTAACCAAGTCCCCACAAATGTCGCCCTGCTGAAAGTCAGAATTTCACCCAGTCTCCTCCGACTGGAGAGCAACGTCCTAGCTTCAGTCATTGCTCTTCTGGCTTGGAGAAAAGCATAATAGTAAAATGTTTACTAGGCTGGAATTGAAAGCTGAGAAATATAAAATGCAGGCCAATTTATAAACGTAACAGTGAAAGTGATTAAGGGATGTGATGGATTATAAATGTGTTCTGGGTGTCTCAGGCACACTTTTTTTTTCTTTCTAAAAGTTGTTTTGAGTACAACACAAGTTACTAAGTTCAAAAGCGATAACTGAGGTAAATGTGAAGGCTTCTAGCTATGCAGAAGATCAGGCTACAGGACTTCATGGATGTTTTGTGCTTAAAATGTAGGTGTTAAGATATTTCAACCTTATTTTGAGAGAAGTTCTCAAAGATAGTCCACTTACTAATGGGTTCCCTTATTCTTGGAATAAACTTTTAAGATACTGCATTACTTCTAAAACCACTGATTGGCTTTCTTCCATAGATACTGTTACATTATCAGGTGATGAACGAGACTTTGGAAGACTGAATGTGAAGTTGTGTTATGTTTCTTCCGTAGAACAGATTTGGATCACAGTTTTACATGTAAGCAAATATAAATAACTTTATAATTATTTACTCAAATAACTATTTTAGTAAACTTAGTGTTAACTCTCATTAAATTTGGCGCTCTGTTACTTAAGGAATACGTTTAGGAGAAAAAGAAAATTACTTCTGAGTATTAGCGTAAACAAAGTTCAGTCAAATGTAATACTGGGCTCCATTCAAAGTGTCTTCGTCTCCTTTTTGTTTGCTTGTTTTGTTTTTTTTCTGTTACCATCTCTGTTCTGCTGCAGTAGTACATAACTCTTTATGTTACTATACATACGTTCTGATCATGGAGTGAGGAACTGTTCAGCATAGATGAGAAAGCTGAGCAGGTCACAGGCTGGTCCTGCTGTGGAAAATTTCCTGTGGAAATCTGGAGGCAGCAGATTGGAGCAACTTTGGAGGCAGCATTAACTGACTTTTTAAATCTAACAGCTCCTTCAGGGCAGAACCATAACAGCACTTTGAGGACCTATAGCTTCTTGTGGCATTTTTATTAGCCAATGTGATACTGTGATGCTGACTGTTTTATAACTTCCAGGAACTGTGAATAATTTTTAGGCAATGGAACTCTGAGTAGTCAGAAACCTCATAACTACGTCAGATGATAAGTACTACATAAGGGATTTCATGATTTATCTGTTGTCAGATTGCCACATAGTGCAATCATTAAAATCCACAGAAAAACATTTACCCTCTGGTTGTGAAAATTAATTATTAAATGACATGAAGTGACACAATCATTACACTGGCTCTGATTTATGTTCAGTGTTACAGGAATTATGTGTAATTCTAGAACGGTGTAGAAGATTCTGTTTCTGAGCTGTCTGAAGGGCAGAGTCTTACCTTGTGTGAACTGACTGTATTTTCAATGTTGCAGTGCAAAGACCTGAGCTGGCCTGCTAGCTGTGGGGAAAATCCTTGTATCTATGTCAAGGGAATTCTTACCCTGCCCAAACCAGTGCAGTTCAAATCTTCTGCCAAGGAAGGGTGCAATGTAAGTAGAGGCAGGAAAAACACCAAGAAATCTTTTTCCCCGAAAGAATAAAAGTGAAATGTAAATGGATTTTTAAAATGGACCAAACATCCACTCCTATGCCATTGGGTTACTGGATATTTTAATTTTTTTCCAACTTCTCAAAATCCTATTAAAAGCTTTGTTCCATTTCCTCCTCCTGTATCCTCTCTTGCATTGTGCTGTTGTCTTCCTCTTCTCCCAAGTCTGCAGGACAGATACGCAGCTTTGTCCCTGCCAGGGTGTGACAATGAGGTGGTGAATCTGAGTACCACTGTAAAAACACACTTTCCCATGGCAACCTAAAGTGGTGTCCAGGAGCAATGGCTATAGACCAAGAAGCCTTGGTTTCTAGGTTTTGGGCTTGGTGTGACTCTGATAATGGTGATATTATACCTCTGTTTTTCTATCTAGGACATTGAATTTATGGAGACTTTTGTATTTGCTATTAAACTGCAAAGCCTGCAGGCTGTCAGATTGGTATTTAAAATCCAGACACAGACTCCCAGGAAAAAAACAATTGGAGAGTGCTTCTTGGCACTGCGGGAGCTCAGCACAGAGGAGTCAAGTCACTGGCTGGATATATCTCCTCCTTCCAAAGCACCTGTAAGTTCCAATACTGCGAAAGTATGTTGTTGTATCACCTAGAAAGAGTTGCTGGAAATGCAAGTAAAATAATTCAGTACTAATTCAATGTTAATGACAAACAGATTTTTTTTCTTTTTTTAGTGTTTTTCCCACTTTCTTGCGGAGAGGCATTTTGTCAGGGAAAGAATGCAGACTTTTGAACTCTGCACATAGCTGTTCTGGTCATAACCTGAAGCTGTTTCTGGGAAAAGAGCTCGAGCAAGCTCTTCCACACCATGGCCCACAGCTTGAGGGAGGGTCATTCTGGGGAAACGTTCAGCAGAGGACACTGGGTGTCCTTTTCTGATCAAAAAAGCACTGGAAGATCCTTAGGACTCACAGCAAGAGCTCAGAGCAAATGGAATCTGCTTTTGTTATGGAAGAAAAGTGCTAAGATCGTCAGTGGCTTGAAACTGCAGAGGCAGTTACATATATAACGTTCAGATTGCATGCTGTGAGTAATAATTCAGGCAGTTCATTGCCATTTGCATAATAAGAAGCAGGTGGTTTTCACAGTGGGATCTCCTTTTCCCCTACCCTCACTTTGTTTGTTTCTTTTACAGATTGTGTCTAGACGTTTGTATTTCTGACAAATTAAACTTGAATTAGCAATTCAAAAGCAAATTTTATCTAAGTGTGTCTGAGTAATATGAATGATTTCTAACAAGTTACACTTGACATTTTTTAGTTTTAACAAGAATAACCATATTGCTTCTAAAGCAACAAAATTAAGTGAAAGAGGAAACTGTTTTAGAAACTGCTTCATCCCAGTGTAAATTCTCTTAGTTTCCCTCTCTGTGTTGGCTTTCCTCACCATTATATTGAGGAGCCCTCCAGACTCTAATTTAATTCATCCCTGTAAGTGCCGGGTCCTGCACTTGGGTCACAACAACCCCATGCAGCACTACAGACTTGGGGATGAGTGGCTGGAGAGCAGCCAGGAAGGAAAGGACCTGGGGGTGTTGGTCAACAGTGACTCAATATGAGCCAGCGGTGTGCCCAGGTGTCAACAGCATCCTCACCTGCATCAGAAACAGTGTGACCACCAGGAGTAGGGAAGTGATTGTGCCCCTGCACTCATCACTGGTGAGGCTGCACCTCAAATACTGTGTTCAGTCTTGGGTCCCTCACTAGAAGAAGGATATTGAGGCACTGGAGCGTGTCCAGAGAAGAGCAGCAAAGTTGTGGAGGGGTCTGGAGCACAAGAATTATAAGTAGTGTCTGAGAGAGCTGGAGGTGTTTAGCCTGGAGAAGAAGAGGCTGAGGGGAGACCTTATCACTCTCTACACCTACCAGAAAGGAGGGTGTAGAAAGGTAGGGGTCGGTCTCTTCTCCCAAGTAACAAGTGATAGGACAAGGGGAAAAGGCCTCAGGTTGCACCAGGGAAGGGTTAGATTGGATATCAGGAAAAATTTCTTCACTGGAAGGGTTAGGAGGCACTGGAACAGGCTGCCCAGGGCAGTGATTGAGTCACTATCCTTGGAGGTGTTCAAAAAATCATGTAGATGTGGCACTTGGTTTAGTGGGCATGGTGGTGCTGGGTTGACAGTTGGACCTGATGATCTTAGAGGTCTTTTCCAACGATTCTATGATTCTGTGATTGAAGGCAACCAGGACTGTGACTCTGCTGGCCTTCTCCTGCTGTTCTTACAGTGTTCAGAGTATGTCTGACAGGAGAGGAATGAGGATTTGTCAACTCAACTTTGCCACTAGCAAAAATTCTAAAAGAAAAAAAATCAGACTGAAGATCTCAGAACATTCAGAGCGGGGAGTGTGTGTGTGTAGGAATGTACTGCAACACAAGTACTTCCACAACACAGGAAACTCCACAGCATGCAGTCATCCTAAACATTCATGACATTAAGTGGTGGGGACTTGTATCTATGAAAAGCATTGTTTATGTCTCCATACTGCAAAATTCAGAAGTGTGGGAGGAGAACTCCAAAGGTTTTTGTGTTAGTGGAGCATACCTGGTCTCTCACTTTTGCACCCAGGTTTAGTAGAGCCACAGCTGCTTGTTCAGTCCCTGTATGTGTCTGCTCTTACCATTGAGGGATACTTTGCAGGTGAAAACTGAGGACTCGTTTATTTGTCCAGTGTCACTGGCTGCAGCCCACAAGGGCCATGTGTGCTGCACATAAGCAGTCCGTCGGTGGAGCACATGGACTGCAGCTCTAACAAGTGCAAGATGCACTTACTGTACATCTGCAGGTTGTGTATACAACACATGCTTGTATTTCTGTCCAGGAAATCCCAGATAAAATGTGGGAGCCCAACATATGACAGAATTCCTGTGTTTCCTGAGTTCATAAGCAACTTAATCCAGATGTTATGGCAACATTCTTCTGCTCGTAGGTGTGCCGGGCAGAACTTCAAATAGGAACTTGTTTTCAAGCAATAAACAGGAGGATTCAGTTACAGATTCTTGAAGCTCAAAACCTTCCAGTTTCATCTACACTGCTGTCTTCAAGTAAGTTACATCAGCTGTCTCATGCCTCCTGTCTAAAAGCATTTGTAACAGGTAAATTGCTGCTCAAATGGGCTGGCAATTCATAGCATTCCTTACAAACCTCAGACTAACATATTGTGCAGTAGATTTCCATTGCCAAGGCTTGTTTCCACAGATGTCTTACTTGATTACTTTTTGTTTGGTTTGAAGCTACATGTTTATGTATTTTGGAAGATTTTTTTATCCCAATATTAATCCTGACATACAAGAGCATTAGCCTGCACTTGCTGTTTGGATACTGTGTTAATCAATTCAATATTATTGAACATACTATGTGTGACGAGTCAGGAAAGCTATTGTACAGTTCTTTTGGCCAGACTTTTGGGAATTTGTTGCAATTTAAACCATACATGTGGATCTTGTCAGTTCCTTATTGGGTGTGTTTGTGAGTAACCCTTTCTGTGCTGTGCCTTTTTTTCCTCCCTGTTGTGCCAGATTTCTTTGTGAAAGTTGGAATGTTCAGTACAGAAGGGCTGATCTATAAGAAGAAGACTCGTCTTCTCAAGTCCACTAATGGCCAAGTGAAATGGGGAGAAATGATGATTTTTCCAGTTAGCCAAGCCGAACAAGGAATTAGCTTTCTCATCAAACTGTACAGCAGAAGCTCAGTGAGAAGAAAACACTTCCTAGGACAGGTTGGTTTCTGCTAACTGGCTTGAAATCCTTTACTTAAGATCCGGTTCCACAGGTTTCTTGGTATGAGTTTTAAAATACTTTAAATAAGGTGGCATGTAGCAAAATAATAAATTCTAATATTCTTCTGGATGTAACCCAAGAAAAAATAGTACTGGGTTCTTAAGCGTGCACTAACATCAGAATGGGAGTTGACATTTGATTTTGCTTTTGAAAAAAAGTCCACAAGTAATTTTTGTATGAGTATGTGAAAGATTCCTTCCTACAGACAGATGTACAATCTCCTCCTTGCCTCTAGGCTTCCTGAAGAAAACAAACATGTCGATAATTCCTATGTGAGCGCTATCTACAACATCAGACTGCCTGTGTAAAGCAATGCTGAAATCACAATAGTCAAAATATGTATGATCATGAGATAACATAGGTGAACAAATACAAAATTATTTTTTAGTGGAGTGCTCTTTTTTTCTCTTTTTAATTTTTTTTATTTTTTTTACAGCCAGATCTTCTGTAGTGTCTCTTTGAAAGCATTTGTGTGATCATATTTATTTAACCATCATAAAACTTGGTAGTCTGGTCTCTTTTTATTGTCTCGGTCCTCTTCCTCTGACTGTTGTAATTTACCATCAGCCTGTCCCTTCTTTCTCTCCTTTTCTTCATGGTATAGTGACCACAGCTCTTCTTAATGTTCAGTGCTTTCCCTGACCCCACTAGAGTTAGTAGCAGAATTTTAATATATGCAATAATGTGGAATTGATTTTGAGACCCCCAACTGCAGTGCCCCTTGTCACATGAAGGACTGCGTTATCATTAGGTACAGGAAATGGTACTGTCCTATTCTGGTGATGTTTCTTGTGCTTGCTGAAGATGTGCAGTTACAGAAGATGCTGATGTGCTATAGAAATTATGTACCAGCAAGAGTTACGTGACCTTCCTCCAATTCATGGAGCCTCATGTCACCTGTATTCCATCTTGCTGTGATTCCTGTTTGTGGAATTGGATTTGGAATACGAAAAGGAAAAAAAAATGCTCTGTTTAGTTGTGATACCTTGGGGCAAAACTAACTGGGTATGATTTTGCAGTAACTTAACAATATATGAAGTTATTTCAATCTGACAAGTTTCATTTAGTCATGGATTTTATTTTTAAGGGGAGGGAATGAGCTACCTCTGCTCCTCAGAGGGTATTTGGAAAAGGTTGTTTCAGCTCATGCAGGCAGACATTGCCACATAAAATATGGCCTGGGGGAAAAATGTACTTTGAGCAATTGGCTGGGAAGCTGGAAAAAGAGGAATATAGCTGGATCTATTAACTTTGTTCTTCAGAGAATGATGTTTAATTGGATGCTGTTCTAAGCAGACAATACTTAGATTAGGCTGCTTTTACAGGCATGTCTTTAATCATGAGCAAGATGTACACTGAATCTCTGTGGATGAAACATCAGCTGTCTGTGGTATTCTGGAAGATGTTATCCTCACTTCTTGAGGACTCGTGCCTCAGCAGAGTAGGCTAAATGTACTTCAAGGTGAAGGTTTCTGAGAAGTCTTAAAAGGACTCATTCTTGGAAGACTTGAGGAAATGGAGTTCCGTAAATAATGGTACCTGGTTGCATAAGCAGAATTCTTTTGGCAATGGAGACTGGTGATAATGTTCAGGAGGAAAACTTCCTACTTGTACTTCATTTCCTTGTTTGATGGCCACTATCCGTTAATTGAATACTGAGAAGAAAAGAACTCCTACTACGTGACTATGTGTGGTATGGGCACATTAGTAACCTCTGCGGAATGCAGGTTTGGCCCTGTCTGTCCGAGTGTGCAATTTTAAGTTGTCACGAAAATGCTGGACAGCTGGCTCGGGGTGCCAGGTGGCTCGGAGCCAGCTGGAGTTTGAATACACAGAGCCATTGCTGGCCCTGGTGAGCCCTTGACCCCAGCACGTGCATTTGAGTGGAGCAAGGAATGTTTGACTTAAAACATCTCATTAAGTAGGGAAACATTAGCATGTAGTGAGTTCTCTCAACTCTTTATTTAGCGGATAAATTTAAACTCGGACTCCCCGTGTTCTCAGCTGAAAGCCAAAATACGTTCGTCTCAACAGAACTGTATTTGTTGCTGTTATGCTTTGGTTTCAGTCTACATGTTGTATCTCATTCTACAGTCCTATGGTCTTTATTTGGAACTAATAAAGGTTGGGCCTCTGTGTTGCATCAGGTAAACTCAATGTTATTTTTCTTTCTTATTGCAGATCTGGATAAGTTCTGATAGCAGTAATAGTGAAGCAGTAGAGCAGTGGAAAGATACTATTGCCAACCCTGAAAAAGTTGTTGTTAAATGGTACAGCATTGGTCCCTCTTGAAGACTGGCGATGAAACTCAGGACTGAATTTTCTACAAAGATATTCCTATGCTGTTAAAACTAGTGTAAATAAAAATATTGTCTACGCAAGTTCTTCAGAAGATCTCCACTGCATCACATCTCCATGGTAACTGGGAAAATTCAGTTTCACAAAGAGAAATACTGGCTAAATATTATTAAGAGGAAAACTTAGGAACTGGACAAAGTTCTCATTTTATTAAAAAAAAATCCACCTTGAAAAAAATAATTTTGCCCCTTTCAGGCTCCATAAGAGCACAGAAATCCCATCTTGGAGAGAAGCAGCTCGAATCAGCACCTTCATGATGAGTCACTGAGGTCATCCTTGTCTGCAGCCTGGGCTTTGGCAGACTCCAGAGTCCATGGGAATCCATCTGGTCAGTGGTGTGATCTTGGGGACCTCTGAGCCTCTGGGGCTGCACCGCGTTGACAGCAAGTGGGAAAGCTGTAGTTGGAGGAGGAGGAATAAAGGGAACTATGCAGTAATGCAGCACCCAAAGGCTTTTCTAACCCTGACATGCCTTTAGCTTGGGTTTTCCCCATCCTTCTCTCTAAACAGAGAGGTTGAAAGATAAGAGTTTCTTTCACTCTGATCTTTGCAAGTGGGGCCCTCCAGAGTTGCTGTTTGGAATCTGGTTGGAATCAATGGGATAATACAAAGAGGCAATGGCCCTGCTTAGGATCAGGGCCAGTATTTTTAGATAAATTACTTTCTTATAGAGAATTCTTAGATGTAAATAACTTCCTATCTTATCAGTGTTCTAGCATTTGCTTACATTGCTAAAAGCCAGACTAACACGTATGAAGACATAAGCAAATACTGACGTAAGTGGGTTTTGATATTAATTAAAATGCAGCACAGTAAGGGACTCAGACTTTGTTTAAAAGATGGGCTACTACTGCAGAAGTATTTGTTACATGTCTAGGAACCTGAAAAATTATATGTGGGAGTATATTTTTGTCACTTATCTCCAGCAAGAAAAAATTACCATACTTTTGTTGCAAATTATATTTTTCCTACCAAATCCTAAGATTATTTTTTCCTATTAGGCCCCATATTTTCAGAGGTTTATTCATAGTGATTTTTAAGGCAGGAAAATGTGATGTATATATACATCTGAAAGCACAGACCTCTTTGCACTGCTTTAACTACTGGATTTAAAATACACATATATATACACACACATATAAAAATATACGTATATGTATATATATTCCATTAAATCCACTGTTTACTCATTTACTGTTGGCTGTCTGGACTGTACAAATACGTATGTTCATATAGACACTGAATAATTGTATGTTTTTTATAACTTGGGTCCCATTCAGCCATCTGACATGACCTGGAGTGGCAGTGAGAGCACTTGCTGCTGGAAGGCAAAAGAACAGTGGGGAGAAAACACTGTAACAGGAAAGCACATTGTATTTAGCACATTGTCTTAGATATTTTTTACTTTTCTTAATCAGCTGATAATTGAAGCTTTTAAAACTTCAACCATCCTGATTTGTTGTTGAAATTTAATATTTTTAAAATGGGCAAACAGAAGGATTTTCCCAGGCTTTTACAAGTTCTGCTTTTTGACCAGTTTTTATAAATGAACTGAAAAAGTTTTGCATGTTGCTCGGAGAACAAACATCAGTTCCAGCTCTTCCTGACCCTCTTTGCAAAGCTCCCCTAGGCCCAGAGGATCTTGACTTTCTGCATTAACTTCCAGCTTGTGATGACACTTGGCTAAAATGAAAAAAGGAACTGGACTGGGCTGATATTCGTGGATGATCCTTACCTGAATGCATGGATCTGTTTTATTCACTGTGGCTGAACTGCAGTAAACAAAAGCGTAAACCGTTCCCTTATGCAGAATGCTGCTCCATTTGAAAGAGAGGACAAGGAATATCCCAGTGTTTTGGAGGCTTCGATTACCACAAAAGTGGCTCTACAGAGATTGCCAAAGCAGTGGGTACTGTGTAAAATGGACTTTTTGGGCTGTTTCAGGACACCTGGCCTTTAAGAGGCCTAACTAGTACTGTCTCCTTTTTCCTGTGTTAATATTTAATCTATGTATTTATAATAAAAGTTACAAATAGAAAATACTCCATTTTTTTCAGTTGTTTATACCATGTTTACCAGCATCTCAAACTTAAGTTCAAGTCCTACCTTTTTCTCTGAGAAATGCCAGCTACCAGTGCCACTACTTTGACTGTTACATCCAAGTTTGCTGTCATTGAAAATACTGCTATGAAAGCAGTTTTGTCAGTTCACTTGCTTTGTAGATGTAATGCACACAGGGTTTATAGTTGGATTTGCTGTTGCTTATAGTTAGTGACTCATTCAGCTTCTTAACTTACAACAACTTTGATGAAAGCAGCAAAGTTTCAGAAGCTGCAGCAGTTTTATTTCAGTCACCTCCAAAGTGTATGTAGGTGAACCGGCCCAGGAGTTACGAACTTACAGTAAATATTATTCATACAGAAATCTGTGCCTGCTAAGTTAGAAACCAGTGCTAGACTAAATCAGATTTTCAGAATGTGTGTATATAATTTCACTGGTTAATTAAACAGTTCTGTTTTTAAGTTCATTTATTTATGACTTAATAGCATTCTGTATGTAAACGAGACCAACAAAATTATTTTTTGAGTCTTTACATCTCAATGGGATGGCACTCCTTTTAAGGAAAAAAATGTAAGATTTTACCTCAAAAGACGAGTGGGTATAACAGTTTGTAAACCACATTATCACAAAATATTACTTGAAAAATAACTGTATTTGAGTATCTGATCTTTTATGATCACAACTTAAATAGCACCATATTACTAAATCCATTTGTATAAAACAAAAGGTATTTTTGTAAGCATTCAAGTAAGCACATGTGCTGTTTGACTTGAAAACTGGCTGCCCGATGGAGGTTGCTTTTTGAGTTGTGAGTTGATTTAGCAGCCAAAGCGTAGGGTTGTCTAGAAACTGGGGGCAGGGTTGTCCCACTTCTTATTTTCGTCCTGCCAACATACGCATGACATGGAGGGAGGCTGCATACTTGTGGAAAGCTTGGCATAAATCACGCTGGACATGATATTCCCTCCTTGTTTTTCCAGCTTCTGCTGTAAAATTACATCACCATGTAAATACGGCCCTGTACATGATCTCACTCTTGGTGCATGGAAAAAGCCATCACTAAAATCAGCACCAAGCTCCACAAACACCGCTCCAGCAGATTTACATCCTTGTCTCCAGCTTGCACTGAGGACCAGGCCTTTGTCTCTCTCAACCTACAGCAAAACTCCCATTGCATTCAGCAGAAGCAACCAGTCCTCAAAGCTGCTTTAGTTATTTCAGTGTTGTGACGGTACGATGTAGCTAACAAAATGTTACACACAGCTTAAGCTGTTTTACACTTTAAAAATAGATAAAAATCACAGTGATTTTTCTGTAGAAACTGAACTTCATTGAAAGTGGATCTGCATCTTCAATGCAATTCTTCCCATAGATTTCCGTGGCTTTGAAACAAATCCTCTATGCTGATTTTCCCCCCATACTTCTGACTGCAACTTTTTCCTTCCTTTTATTTGCCTGTAGATTGCTCTTCTTGCTCCCTCAGCATAAACAAGTCTTTAAATGATGTCTGCTTTTTGCCATTAACTTTCTGCTTTTCTGGTAATGTTTCCATTCTTCTTTAATGTTGGGACCAGCGTTAGCCATGTCCTACTTTTGCTTTAGCTAGCTAGAACTAGCTACAAGCAGAAGGCTTTCAATCCTAGGGCTTGGATCCTGTCTGATGGTCTGCATTTCTGAGCTACATTTGCTCACAGCTTTCATGCTATAGGTCTTCTGGAGCTCCCTTAATTTCTGTGGTGTTAACCACCATGGACTACAACAGTGGGACAAGTCAGTTGTAATTTCTTACATGTACCTGGGTATCTTGGATATGGCACTTCAGAACATGGTTTAGTGGGCATGGTGGTGTTGGGTTGATGGTTGGACTCGATCATCTTAGAGGTCTCTTCCAACCTTAATGATTCTGTGATTCTGTGATCTTCATTTCCTCCTCAAAAAATTACCTTAAGAAATAATTTTGGGTGATGATGAGGAGGAAGCTGTTTGTACTTCTGACCTCCGGGGACAGTACAGTTGCTTGAATGCCCTTACCTGTGCTGTGAGACACAGGAAAGCTCAAGGAAGAGCCCTGAAAAGCTGCAGCTCCAGGTGGAGGAAGGCTTCTACCTCCTGTAGATAGGATCTGGGAAATGCTTATTAGCCTGGCAACTGGAATGCATCCCTTGGTAGATGCCCAAAAGGCAGCCTTGTGATATTGTCCTTTTTTTCCTTATCTTCCAAAACTCTCTGGAGCTACAGAGCAGCTAAATAGGGAAATTTTCTACAGGAGAAATTGTATGGTTCACAGATTTCTATGAAGCAGAACACTAAGTGAAAGGTCTTGTGAGTCTTTGAAAAAATAACAGCCATAGGAATGTACTTGTTAGTTTTAAATATAGCCGAGCTTTGTCACTTGTCAGAGCAGAGGAGTGAATTCTTAGTTTGTGCTACATAGCAGAAGAAGAACATGTACACCCAAGCCAGGGCTGGGTCCCCTCTGCATTGGTATTCGTTAGTCCCTCAAACACCGAGGTGGAACTACCTGTGCTTATCTGCCCCTTTTCCTGCAGCAGGGACAGATTGGGTGGGGGATTGTTAAGAGCAGGTAGTGAAGGAGGCAAAATAAAAGCAGCACTTCTGTTTTGAAAAACATTGTTTTTCAAAGCAGTCTAATGTGCCTGTAACTATTGACAAAGCTTTTATTTGATGTGACTTAAGACGGATGATTACGCAATTAGGTATTTGCTTAGGTTCTTTCAATACTTCCCTGGCATGAGGCTGAATTCATCCTCTTTGTATTTAAGTAATGCTTCATTCTGCTGTGTTCATTGACCTTTGAGCTCTAGACCTAATTATGCCTGATTTCCTATGGATTTGTCCCTCTTGGCTGGTTGACTTTGGTGTGCAAATCAGGGTAGACCTTCCCAAATCTTTTT